GGGGGGGGGGGGGTGGTTAGTAACGTGGGCGAACCTGCCCCAGGGAAATGAAGTAAGTTCCCGTCTCCTGGGAGGGAACGGGGGAGGACGGATCCGCCCGCGTCTGACTCAAGCCGGGAGAGGAATATCCCCTCGCTCGCTCCAGCCCAACCTTCTTCCTCCTCCCCCGCCCGGCCGGCTCCGAGGAACCGGCGCGCAGCAGAGGGAGGCGCCCGGCCCCCCTGCCTTCCCCAGAGGCTGGTGTTTCTTTCCGTCCCGGCTTCCCCGCCCCCACCCCTCAGCCGGGCGTCCAGGAATTGCCCGCCATGGGGAGGGGCCTAGGGGCGGGGCGGATGTCACCCCATGGGAAGCGGGCCGCCAGCCAAGCGCAGGGGCAGCCGAGGCCGCCGCCGAGCACGCTGCGCGCACCTGACCGCCGAGCGTGTGCGCCACGGGCCCCTCGCTCCCCCGGAGCTTCGCTCCTGGGTGCAGCCGGCGGGCACCCTCTTGCGCGTACCCCCTGGGTGTCCCAGTGCCCATCTCCACCCGACTTCGACAAGTCCAACACTGAAAGATACCGGGCGCCGTGCCCTGCGTTCCCTCCCTCCCCTGCCCTCCCCAGAGCAGAGGCTCCCGGGTCGCCTCCCCTCCGGCTGCAACGTTACACAACTGCGGCGGCGACGCCTGCCCCGCAGCAGCACGGGGCGTGACGCTTCACGTGGCCGGGGCTCGGCCTCAGGGCAGTAGACTGCGAGCCCCTCTGCGCCGGCCATGGGCCGGAGACCCCGGGGACCGGGACGCTGTTAGCCCGCCAGGGTGGGCCATCCCTCCGCCTGCCAGGAGCTTGGGCGGCGCTGTTGGCGGTCTGCACCCAGAGAGGGAGGGAAGAGAGAGACTAGGACAAACTGTCCATCACATTGAAATCCTAGCATTCATTCAGTGGATACACATTTGCTGAGCCCCCTATTCTGTGCCAGGCGTTGTGCCCGTTGCTAGAGATACTGTTGGGAGTCCAATAGAGTCCACCCTTGAATTTACAGGAGCCTCTGGAAAGAGGATAAATTGGGCAATGAGGGGAAGGCGGCCCTGGGAAAATTATAGAGGTGCCAGTGGCAGAGAAAAAAAGAGAAGTTTGTTTTGTTTTCAAATTTTATTTAATACGGACCAAGATGCCTTGGAAGAGGAGGAGGGGGAAGAAGCTAACCCATTGCCCTCAGCTTGGCGCAGAAAGGCCTCTCGCAAGGGGCCCCAGACCTCTGCAATGTGCGCGGGCGGGGGCCCCCACCTACCTCCGCCGGCAAAGTCCGGTCTCTGTGACCTTCTAACTCAGCCTGGAGCAGGGAAAACAGCTGAAACTCCAAGCCCGCGGTGTGAGCCGCGCTGATGCAGTCAGAGGAGGGAGCCAGTGGAAATTCATGACTAAAATAAGGCCTGGCTGGGGATTTCACTGACCTCTGTGCTGCCCTGCCCTTCAAGTTCGAGGAGTTGAGAGATGACTGTAAGCCGTTCCCACCGCGCCTCGGGTCAGTCACCCCGCTGCTGAGTGGCCTGGCTGTGGGAAGGATTGAAAAAAAACGGGGTCGCCGCTGGGACTGGGTGAAGTTTAGCCTGGGGCGCAGTTTGGGGGTGTCAGTCTTAATTGGCAGTGTCCTTGACAACCTAGAGAACTGGGATTCACACTTTGACCAAACTGGGAGTGGATTTCCTCCAGGTCGCTTTGGAGAGCTCCCACTTCCTGTTTATGTTTCACAAGCGTCGAACTCATTAGCAAGTGTGAGAAATGCCTCCTTTTCTAGCTGCTAACTGGCTTGTGACCTCTTTTGGGGGCTCAGGGATCCTTCCTTCGCAGAATGTACTTTTGCTGGTTTCTGTTGTCGGCCATCTTTAGGGAGGGAATGACGGCACTCACCTTCCTGCCAGGAGGTGGGCAGCAGAGAAGCAGAAGGAAGGGACTGGCCTGCCCTGGGTTTGTGCTTTCAATCTAGGGCGACCTGCTTCATTGTGACTTTAATACGGGTGAAGAATTGTCATGACTGCATCAAAACCACAGTTCCATCAGGAAAGAAGCACTAGGGGAGGAAGGAACACTTGTCCCTGAGCTGTCATATACGCCGCGCACCCCGTGCCAGTCGTGAACTCAAACATTTGAGCTTCCAAGCCTCAATGTCATTCTTAGATGCTTTGATGTTATCAATACTTTTTGTCCTTACCCGCTCTACAGTTGGAAATAACAAAATGTATGCATTTCCTACTTTTTGTATCAAATGTATTCTCAAGCTTCAAGAAATATCTCAAGAAAAAAAGAAGGAAAGGGAGAGAGAGAGGTGGGGGGAGGAGGGGAGGAGGAGAGATGGGGAGGAAGAGAAGTGGGGAGGAAGAAAGGTGAGGGGGAGGGAGGGAAGGAAGGAAGGAAGGAGGGAGGGAAGGAAGGAAGGAAGGAAGGAAGGAAGGAAGGAAGCAAAGGATCTCCACCCTACCAAAGTTTTTCTTCTCTCAATAGCTTGTGATTATTTTTTCATTAATAAACAAAATAATACCTTCCCAGCCTGTGTCTTTACACCTTGGAAAATCTTAAACTTTCATTCTGTCAGCTTTTGTAGATACTTGTTTAATGCTGTTGTAGTTTTTAGACTGTCTGTAAAAACTTTTGTCTATGTTAATTCATTTACTCACCACCACCTTATAAGGCAGCTATTAGCTCATTCTTACATTGATTTAACACAGCTTTATTGAGAACCACTATATGCCAGGCATTGAATTATGTCCTAGGAATACATGTGTGTCCTCTTAAGGAAATTGAGGCTCAGGGAGGTTAAATAACCTGCCCCAGAGGGTTAGATCTGGAATTAGACCCTAGGTTTGTTTGGCTTCAAAGCCTGTACTCTTAATCACTACATTCTTGGCTGCTTGGTAGGGTTGTATGTGTTGTGTACTGTTCAACTCTAGGGGGAGCCATTCACATCACAGTCTGTGTGAGAGCACCCTCTAGAGTTGTGCATTATAACGTTGAGCAGCTGCACTGGGTAATGGTGACATTTTGTAGCTCTCCCCTCTGTTTTGTCTCTTTTACATGTAGAGAAAACATAATTTTGTACAGAGAAGGACAAGAGTCTCCTTTTATTTTCCTACTGAGACTCAGCATTTTGAAGGTCTGATGCTGTGTGTTGGGAAGAGTCTGTACTGTTACCAGGTTCCTTCCTGTGTAAGAAGTTGGAGCTCATAGCCTCCTGCATTTACCCACACATTTTTTGCTCAGATATCATCACTTTTTGCCTATTTATGAATCCTCAAATTTTTAAAATCACATTTCACATATCACATTTTTATACATCATGATCCAATAAACACACAAAAACACACACACTTTAAGTACATTTAAGCATAAGGCAGCCAAGTCCAGGGCAGGGCTATAGCAATAAGTCACCACTACCCTCTCTCTCTTACTCCTGAGTAACCATTGCTAACTTAAAGAAAAACTTAAACCATTTAAGAAGAAGCCAGCTCAGTGTATTTCAGACATAAATTTTACAAAACAAAATTCCCTTGATATATGAATTCTGGTATTTGCTAGTCTACTCAATTTTATTTAAAAAGTATTCTGGTCTTTACTTAACAAATTGATTTTACAACTCACCAGCAAATCCTAACCTACAGTTTGAACCTACAGTTTGAAAACATGCTCTTTCCACTAGTGATGTATTGTAATTTTAGCTGGTTCCCATCA